CCCTCTGGGTTACCCCTTTCCCTGCACCTGCCAACTGGCAGAGTCCCTCCCCCGGCACCTTTTACCCAAAGGGTTGTGCTTCTTTGATGTGGGGGGCTGGGGTGCACTGCCAGGTTCATGAACTGAAAAATTGTTCCGGGATGTTTATTCATTTCCCTCGCAAGCAGCTGCCCAAGTTACCTGGGAGATGGGAAAATCATGTGAAAGCTACTTTAACCCTTTGAGGAGTAGAGTGATGGAACCAGAAAGTAGAGAAGGACCCATCCGTTCCCCAGTCCCTCAGCCAGACCTGGCCTAACTGATAACCATTCTAGGTCCCATCTGGGGTTCTTAAACCCAAGACATTTGCGGTAAGGAGGCGGACCTTGCACTAATCCGACGTGTACCAGAAAGTCTGTGGATGCCTGGCATAGTGGCACACACACCTTTAATCCCAGCGCTCCGGAGGCTGAGGCAGACCGATCACTGTTAATTCCAGGCCAAACTGGCCTACATATAGAGTTCCAGGGCAGCCAGGGCTGCGTAGAGAAACTCTGTCTCAAAAACAAAAAACTACCATAGATAAAACATCCCTTACTGTCTTGGATTCTCACCAATAAAGTGGGTGTGATCCTCCTGGTCTTTCTCAGGGGAGTCTCAGGTTCAGATAGGAAAGTGCTGGTTGTCATGAAAATGACAATGGGAAAGTGAGGGGGGTGGGGATGGGTCAGTGAAGACCCCTTGCATCTCTTCTAGACCGCCTGAGTTTGGTTCCCAGCGCTTATTCCAGCTCCAAGAGATCCAACACCCTTTTCTGGCCTCCCAAAAGCACTGGAACACTCATACACACAAATTAAAATAAACATTTCCTTTTAATGAGAAAGTGGTCATCTATTCTGCCATATGTGATTCTCAGTTGGTCAGACTGGCCAGTGACTTAACTTTTGAGGTCTCGCTTCAAGTAGCCAGTGCTTCCAACACTATCAAAATTCCCTTCCTGCTACTGGGCAGTGGTGGTGCATGCCTTTAATCCCAGCACTAGAGAAGCAGAAGCCAGTGGATCTCTCTGAGTTCGAGGCCAGCCTGGTCTATAGAGTGAGTTCCGGGACAGCCAGGGCTGTTACACATAGAAACCTTGTTTTGTTTTATTTTGTTTTCCTTTTGGTTTTTCAAGACAGGGTTTCTCTCTGTAGCCTTGGCTGTCCTGGAACTCTGTAGACCAGGCTGGCCTCAAACTCACAGAGATCCACCTGCCTCTGCCTCCCAAGTGCTGGGATCAAAGGCATGGGCCACCAACACCCGGCTGAGAAACCTTGTGTAGAAAAAAATAAATAAATAAAGTAATATAGTTTGGGATCGTGTGGGGAAATGCAATAGGCAATTGAGATAGAGAAATGTGGTCTAGGGGCTAGAGAGCTGGCTCAGCAATTAAGAGCACTGGCTGCTTCCCAAAGGCTCCAGTCTCTGTTCTGAGCACGTACATGGCAGCTCTCAACCAACCATAGCTCCTCTTCTGGGGGATCTGAGGGCCAGGTGGGCACCAGGCACACATTTGCTAAACAGACATCCATGCAGGCAAAATAGCCATACACATAAAATAATTTTTTTTGAGATAGGGTCTCTCTATACAGCCCAGACTACCCTTGAACTTGATATATAGGCCAGGCTAACCTTGAACTCACAGAGATCCTCCAGCCTCTGCCTTCCAAGTGCTGGAATTAAAGGTGTGTGTCACCACACCTGGCCAAAAAAAATAATTTTTAATTAAAAAAATGTCAGGGGCTAAAGAGTTGGTTCAGTAGCTAAGAGCACTTGTTGCTCTTTCAGAGGCCCCCAATTTGCTTCCCAGCATCCTTATAGCAGCTCACAACCATCTGTAACCCACTCTCAGGAGATCCAACACCCTCTTCTGACTTTGGGAGGCACCAGCACACATGTGTTATACGAACACACATGCAGGCAAAACATTCATATAGATAAAGTAATAAAACATAAATAAATATTTTTTCAACAGAAAGAAAGGCAGGTGATCTAGAATGGCGGTGCATTCCTATAATCCAAGCTGTCTGGAGGCAGAGGCAGGAGGATCAGAGCAAGTTTAGAATCTACCTTGTCTACAGAGTTGGTTCTCATGTCCCATCCCATGGGTCTCAGGGACTGAGCTCAAATCATCAAGCCGGCACCCAGTGCCTTACCGCCTTACCACTCAGCCCTACCACCAGCCCTCACTTCTTCTTCTTCTTCTTCTTCTTCTTCTTCTTCTTCTTCTTCT